ATAATACTGTGTTAAACACTAGGATAATAAGTATTAAGCAGGATAGTAGCCTATATAGGAAAAGAACTATAACAGTTGCCTATAGTAGGGAACAGCCTTAGCCTGCAAAACTATAAATTGTTACACTTACTAGACAGCCCCTTCTTATAAATAAAAAGCCTAGATAAAGTGTAATAAATAAAAAAGTTATAAATTCTACTACTTTTAGTAAAAAGTAGTAAAAAAAAAAGACTACTTAATGTTACACTATCTAGTTAAGAATTATAAATGTAAAGTAGCTAACTACTGTAATTAAAAGCATTAAATCTATAAAAAAGTAAAAAATAAGTTTAATAATAACTTATAAAATATTAACTTTTATTTTTTTTTTAATAAAGAAGTTAAACATAACATATTAGCAGTAATTGTAGTAAGATAAGGGGCAAGACACAGTCTAACAACTACCTTCACGTACAAAGGATAGCTAGGGCTAGCTCTTATAGACAGCAGATGCACCTTTGCTGCAATAAATAAGAATTAAGTAGATAAATAAAGTATACCTTTCTATATAAAAAAAAACTTGTTTAAGGTAACCCTTGCTAACATGTTATTAATTAAGTATAGTAAAAAATAAATTAACCTAAAGACTTATAAAAAAGACTTTAAAACCTCTAATATAAGTAATTAAAGATCTATAAATATACTTAAGCTAAAAAGTAAATATAATGTAATCTTAGGTTATAACTAGCTTAAAATATATAATTCTATAATTAATTAAAGAACTATAACTATAGAAACTTCTAACAACTACGCACATATAACCTAGTTAGCATACTATAATAATAAATGCTTAGTCTATTAGTAAGTAAAATAGAGTAGTAGTTACTACTCTAAGAAAAGTAAACTTTAGAGATTCTCTTACTAGAAGCTAAAAGCTTAAGTAATAAGAATAATAAAAAAAAAACTTAAAGAAGTATCTTATAAAAAGATTAAGAAAGATAAAGATGTAAAATAAATTAGTGTTATATAAATCTAAAAAAAAAGCTGCATCCTGCCTAAATATAAAGACTATAAGGACATGTTTAAAACACTAAAAGACCCTAAAAAACTACTACTACACTAGCCCTAAGATTACACTATTAACTTAATAAAAAATTACAACCTAAAAACATATAGGCTTTGCCCTTTAACTAGAATATAGAAGAAGGCCTTATAAAAATATGTTAATAAGATGTTAGCATAAAAACATATCTAAGAAAGCTACAGCCCTATAGCCTTAGCTATAGTCTTTGTAAAAAAGAAAAAAAAAAGATCTAAGTCTATTAAAATTATAAGACTCTAAATAATAACATAATTTAAAACTAATTCTCTTTACTAATTATATAGAACATTATAAACTAATTAAAAGGAACTTAGTACTTTATAAAGTTTAATGTACAGAACAAATTTAACAAAATAAGAATATAAGAAGAAGATAAATAGCTTACAGCATTTAGAACTTTATAGGGACTCTATAAACTACTAGTAATGCTGTTTAGCTTAATAAATGCCCTAGCAATGTTCTAGTAAATTATTAACACAGCCTTTAACTTATACTTTAATGTCTTTACTCTAGTATATCTAGATAATATCCTTATCTACTTAAAAGATACCCTAGAAGACTATGTATAGAAGGTATAAAAAGTTTTAGAATAGCTTAGAAAATATAGACTTTACCTGCAGCTCTCTAAATATAAATTCTACATTACTAAAATAAAATACTTAGGATTTATAATTAATAAAAAAGAAATAAAGATTAACTTAGCTAAAGTATAAAAGGTACTTAAATAGCTAAAACTTATAATAGTTAAAGAAGTAAAAGAATTCCTAGAATTATTAGGCTATGTTAGACAAATAATTAAAGACTACTTAAAGATTGCTATACTACTAATAAACACTATAACTAAAGAATAGGCTATAGTAAAATTTATCTAGACCTTAGAAATAAACAAAGCATTTATAACCTTAAAACAAGCTATAACAGCTAAACTAGTACTAAGGATGTATAACCTACAGCTAGACACAAAGATCTACACAGACGCATCTATTAGAGCTAGCAGAGCCGCGCTCTATTAAAAACAAGAAGACAGAAAGTAGCACCTAGTTGCGTACTATTCTGCTAAGTTTTTAGGACCTAAAGCAGGCTACAGCATACCTAATAAAGAGTTAAAGGTAATACTAAACACTATAAGAGTTTAGGCTATAAAGCTATATAAAATAGTAAAACTATTTAACATTATAACTAACTATATAAATTTAGTTATGTTTTTAATAGTAAAAAAACTATTACTAATGCATATAAAATAGGCTATAAAGCTTATACAGTTTAATTACATTATTAAGCATGTTCTAGAAACACAGAATTAACAGGCTAACGCCCTTAGCTAAAGACTAGACTACTTTAACAAAGAAAAGAAGGAAACTAAGAAGTTTACACTTTTTAAGAAAACTAATAAAGAATAAATTTATAATAAGCCCTAACTTATAAAAGAATTCTACATGCTTATAGCTAGTAAGTAAAAATAAAAAAACTTAATTTAAGAATATTATAAATCTCTAATGTTTAGACACTTAGAAATAAGCACCCTTTAGAAAAAACTAAGGGCTGCTATACTATAGTAAATACTAAAAGCAAAGCAACTATGCATAAAGGTGCTTAGAGAATGCAACACCTGCAATAAAAACAACCTGCAAAGGTATAAAACTTATAGGTACTTTTAACTAATTAAAGCACTAAAGCTACTATAAATAATAATTATAATAGATTTTATTATAAAATTACCTCTATTTAAGGAACTAAGAACAGACAAGATGTGCAATATAATTACAGTAGCCCTAGATAAAACTACTAAATACTTATACACTTAGCCCTTAAAAAAAACTATAACAGCTAAAAAATTTATTTATAAATTAAAATAAAATATAATATTAGTACATAAATGCTCTAAAATTATTATCTTTAACTAAGATAAGCTATTTACTAGCAGTTTCTAGAAAGTAGTAATGTAGCACCTTAGTATAGCATATAAGCTATTAACAGCCTACTACCTATAGACAGATAGACAGACTAAAAGGGCAAACGTAGAAGTAGAAAGATACCTAAGAAAGTATATCTTCTATACTTAGAATAATTAAGCAGAATAGCTTTTTATAGCATAGCTAGCTATTAATAATGTAGAATCTACTATAATAAAAAAAACGCTATATAAGGCTAATTTTAAATACAACTTATACTTTATATTGCACAGAAATTAACCTATAAACTTATAAAAGTTAATAAACTAACTAACAAATCTATGCTAAATACATAAGAAGTTAGCTCTAAAAGCTAGATCTAGTAAAAAAATAATAAAGAAGTATGTAAATAAATTATAACAACTAGGACTAGAAATCTACTTAGAAGACTATGTGTACTTTAACACTAAGAACTTTAAGATACCTAGACCTTCTAAGAAGCTAGTAGAAAAAAAAATAGAACTATACAAAGTCTTTTAAACCTAGCATAATAACTGCAAGCTTAAGCTCCCCCTATATATAAAGATACACCTATAGTTCTATATCTCTAGATTAAAAAAGGCACTTAAAGGGATTTCTCTATCTACATAAGAATAAGAAGATAAAGAAATAGAATATAAAGTTAAACATATTATTAGTAATTAAAAAAACTAAAAAAATTTTTTAGTAAAATAAAAAAAGTAGCTTACTAGTAAAAACATATAAAAACTAGCTAAGAATTTAAGGAACGCGCAGCTGTTAGTATAAGAGTACCTTTAAGCTTATCTAAAAAAAACTAGCTAGGCAATAAAGCACCTATATTAAAAGAAACAGCTATGTTATTACTAGATAGCAGCAGCCTTTAAAAACAAGTCTTAGCTAATAATAGTTAAAAAGAAAAATAGCCTTTTACTTTAGCCTTAAAAGCTTCTATCTTGTCTAAGAAGGATAAGTCCCCCTTTAAGTACTTTGTGTAACAAGCCTCTAGCAAATCTAGTAATTTTTAGATATAATTCTGTCTAAAACACTTTTTATTTATTACCCCTAATATTTTCTTTTGTAAGTAGAGCTGTTTTTAGACTTAAGCCTGTTGCTTATTTTACAACACACAGTCCTAAGCTTATAAGGCCTTAGCCTTTTAAAAAAGCGCTTTTCTCTTCTTCTTTAAACAATCTTATATAGCATTAGAAATAAAAGTGTTATATTTACTATGCTTTTTTACACATTTAATGCACTTGTTTAAAGATAAAGTTAATATATAAAATAACTCTAAAAATTAGTAAGCGCTATAAGGCCTTATCTTTATTTAGCAAAAAAGATTAAAATAATAAGTAATATAAAAATAATAAAAAGAATAAGACTAATAAGCTATTTAGTATAAAATAAATAAATGTTAAAAATGTGTCGCGTAAGAGAGCACATGGTCCTGGTGTCGCACCTGTGTTTCGGACGAGCAGCCTGAGACACTTGGCGCCGGAGCTCCCACTACATAGGCAGGCTCTCTATAAGCCTCTTATAGTTAATAGACTTACTCCTTATTGCTCCCTAATTAGCAGTTGTGACAGTTATAAGCCTAGTTTGTGTAAATTCCTCTGTGTTGCGTTAATTAAAGCACTTGTCTATTCCCTGCTCCTTATCATCTGCTCCTATTGTCTCTCTCTCTCCACCGAAGCTATGGATCAACCAGCGACTGATGCCACACGTTCCTACTATCCACCCGCGATCCCTGATCTTAATACAGGCGACTTAGAGGCTCTCCGCATCTATTAGATTAAGGCATTAATATACACGCAGCTCTCCTTAAGGCTCCAGGTGCTGTAGAACTAGGTGTATACAACAGTAGTTTCCTAACTGCTTAAGCTTGTAACTATGCAGACAAGCAATTAGTTGTACGCAAATAAGAAGGAGCTTAAGAGGGACTTTTACCTAAGTAATAATAACTAGAAGGAGCAGGTACAAAAGACCTATTAGGAGGTTACTCTACGCCTATGCTCTGGCGAAGAAAGGGATGGATCTTAAAGGTCACTGCTAGGGCGAGCTAGTACCCCAGCAACATTACGGCATGAGCTTAGTGAGGACGTTGTGGATTAGAATAGCATCCCTAACAGCGCGGCGCGCCCAGACTGTATGCTGCATGCTCGCGCTCTCATCAAGTTATGGATCAGGTCTGGCCGGACTGGCAGCATGCTCAATAAAGCGTCACTCGTTTTTTTCCCATGTACTAACCGCGTGTGCGAAGAGCTTACCGTCTCCCACGCCCTAAGTGTCTTATAATAGTTACCCTGCTTTCTTTTGTTCTCTTACTGTTCTCTATTACTCTGTTTTGCTCTTCTGGCTGCTCTGTCTAAGCTCTTCTGGC